CTATTAAAAGTTATTGCCTAAAGTTTTGATGCGCAAGGTGTGGGTAGATTCTGTTGCGAAGATGGAGGCAGCATACAATAATTAGAATCTACCAAACAGCACAATGAAAGTTGATGTGCGTTTGTGTGAAGGCAGATACTCATTGAACTGGGATGTTGCGCCCTGGCAGGCATGATAGACCATGGCTTGCAAGTTGTTACAGTAACCGCAGATTGATAAGCTTATATTAATTCAAATCTTTTCCAATTATCTTAATTAACTAGGTGATCTCAATGAAATTGGTGCTGGTTTTATTAAGGATTAGAAAGACGTTGTTGAATGCATAGATGATGCGAAAGATACATTCTATGTAAACTAGCTTCAATAGTTAGAGTTGTATACGGAATCCGTATTACGGATTATTTAATTGATTGTTTTAAGGTTAATTTTGGATTCGCTTATAAATTCGATAAGTGAAGTGCGACTAATAATTTAAGTGTCGCACTGCGAGGAGGTTCTTATACGCCATTAGCCTATTCAATTACTCAAGCATTGATGGACGTGAGCGGGAAAAACTGACTCAATAATCAGAATGCTCTAGGTTAAAGTCTTGTCTGATACCTTTTATAATATTTTACTACACACTTAGAAATTTTACAGAAATCTGCAAAATTTACCGAAATCTCAACAGCTGAACGTTCGGTAAACAGTTTCCTGTTATTTTTCACAAATATCTGTGAAAAATTCACACCAATCCTGTAAATAATTACAGGAAAACTGTAAAATTGTTTACCGAACGTTCAGCTGTTGAGATTTCTTTAAAGTTTTAGTGTGTATGGAAACACTTAAGTTTCATAAGCTGACGTATGAATTGCATAATATGGATTTGTGAATTTGGGATTCATAAGTCAAACTTATGAATTCCATTATAAATCCTAGTGATGAAAGATCATAAGTGGAATTCTTAATTTTTTTTTTCTCAGTAAACGTCAAAAGTTGCACTAGGATCAATTTTCGGGACATTCAAGTTAAAATTATAGTTAATAACTGTCGGAGTTGGAGTCAGTGCATTTTTTAGACTTCCACTATAACTTCTTTTGCTCAAAATGCGATCGACTCCGGCTCCACGGCACCAACTCCAACACCACTTTTAATTTTTTTGAATTTTCATATTCAGTGCAACAGCATATTTTCAAGAAAAAACCATGAATTTGAACCATTTAACCCTCCGTTACTCGCGCTGTTGTACTTTGTACAACACACATGAGTTTTCCATTGCCATTTTGTTGTTGAGTTAGCAATCGATCTGAAACCAACGAGTATTCCTCAAAAAACTTGTTTTGATCGAAACAAGCTAAACTTTGATTATAGTATAGGGAAAATAATAGGGAAAATGTAAATGAAAACCACGTAAACTGTGACAATACTACGTAGGATTTGATTTAATTGATTACAACATGGAACATATCGAGATCCTGACCAGATAGAAAGTTACTGTCGTTCACAAAGTTTTTCAGAAGGTCAAAGCCTATTGCTTGGTGTTCAATCGTTCAGAAATTGCTCACTACGCAACGCTAGTATGCTAGTTGCTTAGGGGGTCAAGACTTTTTGGCTGGTAAACAGTAGTTTAGAATTTTCTCACCACGTGGCGTTAGTGTACATGTACACATCTCGCATATGCTATATCTCGAGATCCTGATCAGATAGAAAGTTATTGTCTACGACAAAGTTGTTCATGAGGTCAAGGTCTTTTGGCTGGTGGACAGTAGTTCAGAATTTTCTCATTATATGATGCTAGTATACATGTGAAACTCTAGCTTATAAAATATCTCAAGTTCTTGATCTCAGGATATCACAAAATTTTTGATCGTGGACATTTGTTCGAAATTTTGTCACTACGTAGTGATAGTTGAATGTGAAATTCTCGCCTGTGATATATCTCGAGATCCTGACCAGATAGAAAGTTACTGTCTTGAACAAAGTTGTTCAGAAGGTTTAAGCCTAGAGTTTGTGAGAAAATTCTGATCTACTGTTCACCAACAAAAAGACATTAAAAACTACAACTTGGTTGTAGACAGTAACTTTCTACACGGACAGAAGCCAACAATAGTTAGTTTTAATTTAGCATTTATTGTGTGTCCACTCCCCGGGCGCAACGCATGCATGAAAAAATAACTACCAGCCATTCTCTCGTTGTCACCCGGACAAAAATGTAAACAATAACAGAAAACTGAATTCAGCTCTTTTTCTCGTTCCACAATATTTAATTGTTTTAAACTGTAAATTTCGGGAAATAAATGCAAGATTTCCGAACATATTTAGATTTGAGATAAGTAAGTATGGTGCAGTTGCTTAATATAAACAGCTTTTCTTTTTTTCCTTGATTTGTTTTTCCGTCGATCTTGTTTTCCGTTCTGAGTACCAATGCTTTGGGGTTTAACTGTGATAAAAGTTTAGTTTGTTAAGTTAATAACAAGTTTTTTAATGAATACCCGTTGGTTTCATATCAATTGGTAGCTCGGCTCCAAAATGGCAATGGGAAACGGAGGGTTAATCATAGGGACGATTTTCCACGAACGTGCAGCAAAATGACGTTCGAAGAACAAATTCCAAAACATTGAAATCAAATTTTCTGACATGAGGTTATCAAATAGAGTTATAATTAGTGATGTAATCAAACTGCCGTCCACGAGTATGGGAATGGATTTCTTTTCCGTGTACACGTCACACTGTTGGCGCACGGCAGTACGCGTCCCATATTTGATATTTTTAATTTTTGATCTCATCCATCAATTAAATTCAATTTCTTAAAACCATTGGCATCTGACACTGACTGTGGCTCCGGAATGTTTTCTAGTCTAGCCTGGATGATTTTCCGCTCAAACTTGTAAAGGGTGATACGGTCAAAATTTGGTCAATATCAACTTGACGTATTTCTTTTAATTTTGCATTTAAAAAACCTGAACACCCCTCATTTTGAAGGTGTGTGTGTGTGTAGAATGTTGCTCCTATTTTGATTTTGGAATTCACTCTTCAGTTGTCAAAATGCCGTCCAAGCAAGAAGAGCAGCGTATCAAAATTTTGCTCGCGCATCGCGAAAATCCGAGCTACTCGCACGCAAAGTTGGCAAAATCGCTAAAAGTTGCCAAATCAACCGTTACAAATGTAATTAAAGTGTTTGGGGAACGTTTGTCGACAGCCAGGAAGTCTGGATCGGGGGGAAATCGAAAACCGGAAGCCGCTGAGACGACAAAGAGAGTTGCCGGTAGTTTCAAGCGAAACCCTAACCTCTCTCTCCGAGATGCCGCAAATAAGCTGGGTGTATCGTCTACAACCGTGCATCGAGCCAAAAAACGAGCCGGACTATCGACTTACAAGAAGGTAGTAACTCCAAATCGCGATGATAAACAAAATACGACGGCCAAAGCGCGATCCCGGAGGCTGTACACGACGATGCTGATGAAGTTTGACTGCGTGGTAATGGACGACGAAACCTACGTCAAAGCCGACTACAAGCAGCTTCCGGGACAGGAGTTTTATACGGCAAAAGGAAGGGGAAAGGTAGCAGATGTTTTCAAGCACATGAAACTGTCAAAGTTCGCAAAGAAATATCTGGTTTGGCAAGCCATCTGTACCTGTGGCTTGAAAAGCAGCATTTTCATAGCTTCCGGGACTGTCAACCAAGAAATTTACGTGAGAGAGTGTTTGAATAAACGTCTGCTGCCTTTCCTGAAGAAACACGGTTGTTCCGTACTGTTTTGGCCGGATTTGGCATCTTGCCATTACGGTAAAAAGGCCATGGAGTGGTACGCCGCCAACAACGTGCAGGTGGTTCCCAAGGACAAGAACCCTCCCAACACGCCAGAGCTCCGCCCAATTGAGAAATACTGGGCTATTGTCAAGCGGAACCTAAAGAAGACCAAAAAAACTGCTAAGGGCGAGCAGCAGTTCAAGGCAAACTGGCTTTCTGCGGCGAAGAAGGTGGACAAGGTGGCTGTACAAAATCTGATGGCAGGGGTCAAGCGTAAGGCCCGGCAATTCGGATTTGGAAAAGCTGAAGCCTAACTGAATATTTTTCCTGAATTTTATACTAATTGAACTTGAAAAAGAAATTTAATTTGATTTTTTAAATAAACGATTTCACCGATTTACACGCGTTTTCCCTTGACCAAATTTTGACCGTATCACCCTTTAATGTTTACTGAAAACTATCCACTTGATTGCCTACCAACCCATTTACTCGAATCAAAACAAATGACTGAAGATACAGATTCCACAAAAATCATGTTTATATAGGGGAATTTACGTATTCTCGTCAATCTAAGCAGTGTCCACACTTCTATTAGCATTTTCTCAGCGTCACGCACATATATGACGTGTCTGTTGGTTTACATTCATCTGCTGCTTGCTTCTCTATCCATTTTAATCGACAGAATTCTTCAAAACTGTTTGAAAGCGTTTTTACAACGCTCCAAACTTCTCAGGTGAGTGTGACTATTGTCGGCAGCCTTGTTTTCTTCGGCAACCTTCCCATTAGAACTGCGTGTTAACCAGCTGTTCTATTATCGGCAACTTGAAATCAACCCCATTTTAGAGTACGTATGCTTCATATGAATAAAAATCTGCCATAACAGGACTGCTCAGACGTACACATACAATCAGATTGAAGCTGAAAGACTAAAGAATCGTTTGGATGCATTCAGGGAAGTGTGTTGATGGGAAAACATAGTGAAATTAACGTTTAAATTTTGGTTGCCGAAAACAGTCAATGGGTGCCGAAGCCGACATTTACCCTAGTGACCCTAGAGCATTGAATGTTTCTTTGTGAAGCAATTATGTACCTATCTAATCTTTCCTAATCTAATCTGCCCGATCTCTTCTGGCAGTAGCGCAGTAGTATTTCTACATATGTTTTACAACTTGCCTTTCCTTTGAGCTTAGTAAAATACGAGCAATCTTACTGGCACTTGTTGGCTAACCCTTTGAACTCTCTATTTATCTCTCTCTCTCTTTGCTTACAGAAATGGACGACATGCTGGTGCATTGCAACAAGAACAGCGTCTACGTACTGGATTCCAGCTATCGATACCGGGTAAGTGCTGCACCATCGACAAGTGTTGCACATCATCAAATTAACTCCCCATCAACATCCTTTCCGGTTTTGGCATCCTCCCAAACCACTACAACCTTTCCTTCCTTGAATTCTAAATACCTATATTGCATAAATTCAGCTCGATTCCCAAGGCAAAACTCACATGAGGAAGCACAAATTTGCGAGTGAAATGGAATTCTTTGCTCAAGTATTTCTTTGTCCGACATCAAAGTGCTGTTACTGAATTTTCTTTTTCCGCGTTACACCTTCCGCCATCATCCGGATCTCTGGATGCTTGCACGGTTTATATTGGTGACAACGACATGAGCGACATTGGAAAGACATTTTTCTCCTGTCTCTGTCTTCGGTGTGATGCCAGCAGGTAAAATTAAATTGAACTCCAGTAGACACAGCTGACAGGTCGGAAGTAAAAGAATCTCATTACGAGAGAATTTTCCATCTTTGCTAGCAATTGCGATGACTGCGACGTTCTATTGGTTGTTCTGTGAAGGAGCTTTCATCGTAAGCCTGAGACGGTTGATCTTGAAGCATCTATCGCAATCAATGTCATACAAGGAAAGGATCAACCGTGGGAATTGTACATATTATGATAAATTGAAACAAAGCTTTTCCGCAGCAGGGTGGTTTGTTAAAAATAAGAACGCATTTTATGTTTCTCTTTTTATCATAGTCCTGTGCTTCCTCGTGCCGGCTACCTCGCTTTACCCTGGGGCTACACTCCCTACACTGAAACAATATGACATACTCCCATTATATGGAAGTCTGCGCTGTAAGAAAATCCAATGAAAACGCTATGATTGAAAATGTGTTTGGTAAATGCTAAATGAATATCTGATACATTTACAGTGCTGATAAGTTGATAACTTTTATATGTTCGTCATATGATAAATGAAAATCGGTCAAATTATGAGAATTAACTGACATGCATAAACTTCACTTTTCACAACAGCGTCGTATACTGCCCATAAAAGCATAATTGTCCCATCTTTGTTGATTTCCTATTCATATGGGACAGTTATGCTGTTATGGGCAGTATACATGTCATAAATCAATCTAATTAAAGTTGATATGAAAATCACATGAAATTTACTTTTTGTTTTGACTTGCATATTTTATCGATTCTAAAAATAAATCAAAACATAATCAACGACAGTGGAAGATTTCTCAGCTGCGACTTATTTTTTATTGTAGCTGATTTGCTGATTTGAGATTCGATCCAGTGCTGTTGAAGTGTGATACTGATGATGTCTGCACTCGATTCTACTGGACCACAGCTGACTTCGAGATTGAGCTCGTTCAATTAGCATGCTCGTTTTGCTAAACCTAACCGGGGGGAGGATATAAGATTCGCTTACAATTATGTGGGATTCATCATCAGAGGATGTTAGCATCATCAGAGGCTGTTAGTGGAGACCACATGAACCGAGGATGCGATATACCTAGCTGCGGTTCAATGCAAGAAAATTGGAGACCGACTGGACTTGAACCACGAAACGTTGCGATTATCAGACATTTGCTTTCTCCACTGCTCTCTCGATGCTTCTGTATATGGATAGCCTAAAAGCAAACAAGCTTACTGGTATAGTCGAAAGCGTATATAGAACACGAAATAAAAAAGACAAAAACCATTACATTGTCTGCATGGTCAATTTCTAACATTCATTGCGATGTTCATGAACAGAGGATGATAGGAAACAGAACTAACATTCATTGTAATAGATGTTTGGTTTGCGTGTAGAGTGAAGAAAAATAACACTGAACAATTTATGTGCCGGTTCGGTGGTATTGCGTGTTCAAATCTTTCTGAATGCCCCTGTGTAAAATAAAACAACCTCTAAATTATACGGTTATGGTTCATGAAGTTCCAGTACTATAGTCCTGGAACCTGGGTAAGCCGTGAAGAAGGCTTACAATTATAATCATAGCAAAGTAAATATTTCAGTAGAAATTTTTTTTTCTTTTCTTATACATTCTTTTCCTGAACCCCTAATATTATGGGACATTGACAATAAAAGTTATTCAATACACTATTGATATTGTTAGAAATATTTAGTTGGACTAACAATTTCGCTGAGTCTCGATGAGTCTACCATTACAATGTTGTAAATTATTTCAATAATTTATGCAGAACAATTATACAAGGCGCTTTCATCCCAAAAACCATGCCAACAATAAATATTTGCTGTTGGTTTTCATAAAAGGCAAATTTATTTGACTATCAACTGATTGAGATAGATATGTTTACAATATACAAACGTCAATAATCGTCGGAAGCTATTCCATGATGACTATTTAACATATATTTTAATGCGAGCAATAATTGATTCGGTCAGAGCGCTTCTTTTGTTTTTTGTGAATTATGGATGCAAACCTTCATATCACGCGTTCTTATTGACTTCGCTCGGTAGCTTATTAAGTGAAGTATCATCCAAACCCATAATTGACTTGTTAACTCTGAAATCATGGATTTATTTGATGTTTTCTGCTCGATAGGCCCAAGTAGTTCTCTACCCTAATGAGATTGATCAGAAGTAAGGTTTCCACAGCGATTCAATTTCGAAACGCTAAAAGGAGCATTTTTTTTACCGTTTTGAAGTTGAATCGCTGCAACATTTCGTATTTGATCGGGAATACTTGATTAGCCATAAATCCCTCCAATGAGTTCTCGGCAAGGTTGCTGATCCTCACAGCGAGGCACAATTCGTTGTATATTCCTCTCGCTGTTGCTGAAGTAGTACCAACAATTAATACGAAACTAACGATTTTAATTTGGCTCACTACTTGACTAGCCTATTGGTCCCAAGCAAAAGATTAACGTACCCCATTCTAGTCGAAATTCTAGTACTACGCAATTTTTGTTTTGATTCGCTATGAAAGTTTGACAGATAAAATGAGGGGTTATTGGTTTTTCCTATGTTTCGAGGGGTGAATCGATTAGCTTGGGACCGAAGATAGTACCAGAGCTGAGCCAAAAAGTTGAGCACGTTTCTTCGGGACCTACTTGTCTAACAATTACCTCTATGGTAGTACTGCAGGAGGCAGGCTCTCTTTTCGTGCAAGAGAATTTATCTCCCACGAATGATGTTAAATAATTTTGTTTTGCGCTTCTTCTACATTCTCTCGTCGTTCGCTGAGTTACGGCTTTAGGCAAATCAACAATCGCCACTCATCCGCTTGTTCGTTACTGGACGAGTTTAGCTGAGTTCATTCAATTCGATTGCTATTTGTTTCTGGGTAATCTTCACAAAGAATGCAAGATTCCACTCGCCACGAGTGTTCACGGCGATGCGATGTACTATGCTGGACGCTTGAGTGGTAGCTTGACGCTGCACTGGAGCGAAGCATTTTCAATCATTCAGCAATCGCACTACTGTGGTTGCAAATCAGGTGTATGCGCAAGAACAGTTATTTTAGGTTGGAAAAATAACATAATAAAAATACTTCATTAGGCTTTGCTCCTACAGTTTCGGCTTCAAAACATTGGGTGCCGTTGACCAAAATCCATAGCGCGTTTGACTCAATTAAATATGTGGTACAATTTTGCAATATGTAGTATAGAATGTCGAACTGGTACCCATTTATTTTGAGACGGAACAGGCCTGTCGATATGGATCAATAACGCCTTTCCTCAAGTGAGTGCAAAACTTTTTCTCAACCTTTTCCAGCGCATAATTATAAAAATAAATTCAACGAGTTAAATAACGTTTGATACAATTCCAAGTTTTAACGGCGAGGTTGGAATTAAAATAAAATCAGATCAAAAATGGTCTCTAGAGTTTACGGTATAACATTCTTTATATAATTCTTGGTCCATTATTTGTGAGTTTATAAAGTATGAGAGTTTAGACAAATTCGGAAAGTTGAACTACATGCGATCCCTTGTAGCGTCCTTTTTTGCAATTTTACAATCAAAATTAAACATTACGACTTATTAAGACTAGAATCTATGGGTAAGGTAAAATAATAGCATTCCAAAAGGAGGAATAGTTTATCTTTTTTTTTTTGATGTCGTATTCAATTGTCCAGTAGAGAAATTCAAAGACGCATTATGACAGGGAATTGTGCCTAGTTTAGATTCCGGAGGACGCTCGGTTCGAATAAAATTCACCGCACCACGAAGTCGACTATCTACATTCTACACGCCGTTGATAAGACCGGTGATCATCTACGGCCACGAGACCTATACTATGCTCGTAGACGTGTTTTCCATGGTGTTTTCGAACGGATGATGTTGCGGACATGGCATTTGTAATATTGGCACGATAGGTTTATTAATTTGCAATATACTTACCAAGATGCATTATTTGAACAATGCCATCCTTGTCCGTGAATGATAAGTTTATTCCAAATACCGACTTCGAGTGCCGGGTGGCCGTATCAGTAACCTTGATCGGTACATCTTTTATCTACCGATTGAGCAAACAAAAATTAAATATTACTGATTTTTAAAGATTTCGATTTAGGTTAGCGACTGAAAGTCAATTTTTATTTGTTATATGCGACAGTTAGAAGATACTGAGAGGTTAGCACATATCATCGGCAAGAGACGTGCGTGTGAGAAAATTTGCGAAAAAATCTAAGGGCACCGGTGGGAAAAGATTTCGTTCGGGTTTTATAGACACACATGTAACATTTGGCATAAGAACACGGAGCGTTTCTGTGGTGGGAAAAAAAGTGACTTCTATATCTATCACAGATTACAAATTCGAATGTGAGCATGCATAAGGGCGTAACCGCGATGATCGATTCTATCTTTTGTTAATAATTCACTTGAATTAACACACCTCGGTGCGTTTGCTGTTGCCTTTGATAGCCAATACAACCTGTTACAGGTTACAGCACTACATTGAACAATTTTTTGATAATATTCAATCAGAACATTGCATTAGGTCCTAAGTATAACATTGATCGATTCTCTTCGTCGACTTTCTCTTTCGTTAATAACTTGAGCACATAACCATTTCTTGTTGTGTTTGTCG